CGCACGGCGCACCTCGTGTGCGTGCGCGCGCACATGCGCGCTCGGTGTCACCACGCGCATGCCGCACGGCGCAGCGCACCGCATCGCGCACCGCACTAATGCGCCGCAAGTATGGTTATAATATGTCAGAAAAAAGGAAACTGTTGAAGAAAAAGAAAACTGTTTAGGACATCCAATAAAATTGAAATTTGAAACGATACATAGAGGAAGATTAGCATGACACGCATAAATCGAGAAATGGTACAAAAAAAAGAAAAAAGAAAAAGAAAAAAAGACACTGTTTGAAAAACTTTGAAAAATCTTTGTTAAAAAAGACACTGTTTGAAAAACTTTGATAATCTATGTTATTATCTGTTCCCTCACGCACGTAAACACCGGAAGTGCTTTCATAGCACCAAGCCATTCACACACTCGCCCTTGGGGGATGGGGGAGGGCTTTCATAGCACCAAGGGGTTTAGTCCATGGTTGCAGTATGCTGGTAGCGGGGCCGTGGGGGAGGGGTGTTTGAGTGGTTGGCCGTGGGGTTGTCTGAGAAGGGTGCATGTGTGTGTGTGTGGCGGGGGGGGGGGGGGGGGGGGGGGGTAGTGTAGAGTGAGGTCCAATGATCTCTAGCTCATATCTCGTGTACTCACCATGGGTGGGGTAGAGGAGGTAGGTTGGATAGAGGTTTTAGGTCTAGTTTGGGTTAGGTAGGATAGGACTGTGTGTAGAGATTGAGGGCCTGTCTGTGTGGGCCACCTCGTTCGTATGCATTGCTCGGTGGGTGTGTCATGGGTGTGTCTGGGTACCGTAGTAGTTTCCCGTGCTCATGGTACTCCCGCTAGAGTACATACCTACATTGTACGAGCCTGGTCCCCGTACGGCCCTTCTCTACACCACCCTTGAGTAGTGGTAGGGGTCAGGTGTTAGGCATATATGATTCCCAAGGGCGGTCCTCGTGTCTATCTTATGATGATTGCGAGCTGGGCTTCATCCGGGCTGGTACCTGTCTGCGTTCCCATTGAGGGGGTCGATTGGGGAAGGTCCTCTGGGTAGGGGTCTCATCTTAGGCAGGGGAGGGTGGGTCGTCACATTGGTAGTAGAAGGGTGGTTATTTGCCGTTAGAGTCTGCTCGATGTGATACAGGTGGGGGGAAATGACCACATAATATCCATGACCCCTCCTGTGTCCGGGTCATCCTCGAGAATTCGGGGTGTTCCTATCGTAGCATCCGGGAGGGACTCGTCGGAACCCTCGGAAGGCACGGGTTGGCGTAGATCTGCGTCTAGAGACGGGTCTGGGTTGCACCGCTGCAGGAACCGAACTGCGATCTGATTAGGACAACCAAAAAAGTTCACGAATGATGGCCCCCCTCGAAGAGATTGTCCTTGCGGCTGTCACAAGCCATCGGATCTCCCCACTGGTCGAGTACGACGACAGGCACCCCCCGAGGCCTAGCATCCAACCCCTACTATGATCTGGACTTTATACATAAAGGGAAAAAAATTCAAAAAAATGAAATGAAATCTATGTTATCAAACTGTATGAGAGTGTATGTGTGACAGGTCCTGTTTTTTTTTTTTTTTTTTTTTTTTTTGTCTGGACCCGAACACCGAGGTCCATTTAGGGCCCGCCTGCTGATATCTCAGTGTTGAGATTAGCAAAAAGAACCAAAAACTGGGGGGGAATTTGGAAAAAAGAATTGCAGCATTGCAATGCAAATAGCTTTTTAAATTTTTTTTTTCTCTTAATATAAAAATACAAAGAGTTTCTGCTTAAGGCACACCTCAAAATTTGTTACCTGCAAAAAAAAAAAAAAAAAAACAGTCTACCAGATTCCAGAGAAAGGGAAAAAACTTCAGAAAAAAGGAAAAGAAGTTTAAGAAACACTTTCAGGTTTGGTGATTGTGCACCGGGTTTAAACCTCCAGTACATTGCCCAGGCAAACTTGAGAATCGAAATTGAGCCCATCTGCAGATTTCTGGTGAAAAAAACAACCCGACCAAAATGGCTGCGGCACCCGGCACCAGCTAAAAGACTAAAAAAAAAAAAATTGCCGCGCTGCGGCACTGGTCTTTTGGCAAAGCTTGGAGCGCAGGGGGAATCCGCCTTGGGAGAAAAGGGGCTCAGATGCAAAGGTGGTTAGGAAAGTTTAAAGTTTAAAGTTTAAACCCCTTTCGACCCCCCGTTTGTGCTACTCCTTCAGACCTCCATGCTGCTAGCCTCCGCACCTGCACATGCTTTGAACTTGGACACTATTCGACCTGCACGAAATATCAGCGTAATGTTCCTCAGATCAAAACCATGTTTCCCGCCCACGCCTTTGTGGCTGAATGGTACATCCGTGTAATTGCGATGGAATCAAGGGAATAAAATTCCTGTAGATTATTTGAGGCCGATCAGTTTCATGCATACATGCAAGCACATGCCGTGCGGAAAATTCTGCACTTTTGGCGGACCCGCACGGTGCGGCGCACGGGGGACATATTCACTCAGAAAAAAAAGGGGGTCGCATCTCTGGGTGAATGGGCACCTGTGTCCCCTTTGAAGATTTGTTGTGGGATGGGGGGGGATAGAAAACCCCTAGCGGGAGAGTAATGCCGCTACATAAAGGTCAAGACTGCTGTCCCGGATACCTATTTGAGGCAATTTTTCTCATTCCCAACCGGACGGAAAGAAAAATCTGTACGACTGTACTTGAAAAAGATTTGTTCCTTAGGTGGGTGCACTCTGCTGTATAAACAAATGGAAGAAAAAAAAAAAGGGAAATTAGTGCTGGTACGCCACACGGTGCGGTCGCAAGTCTGGTTTCATGATGATACATCAAAGCCGGTAGCCTTTTTTCCTTTTCACTCTTATGTAAGTCGGTGAAACTCCAATGAAACAGTTTGCCGCACTGCTCCCTCTTCTCCCTCTCTTCTCCCTCTCTGCCCCGCCGTTTACCAGGCAGTTCTGTTTGATGATATATGATATATATATCATATATATATATATAAAATAGAAAAAAAAGATGTTTCCCTTGGTCTTGTCTGACCGTTCCAGATTTGCCAGGCAGGTCATTCAGGAGCTGTATAGGCTTTCCAACCTGGATGGACAGTCCGCCCAGGCAGCTGGACCCATAACAGATTTCTTTTCTTTTAACGGTGAGTGGGGCTGTCTTGCACCCACCGAGGTGTGCCCGAATGCGGTCTTCTGTCTATTTTTCGGAGCTGTCTGGGTGGGGAGCGGGCGGGGGGTGGGGGGGGGCGTGGAGGGCGTTTGGAGAGCTTGGTTGTTCGGTTGTCTGTTGCTTGCAGACCCCTGACAACACCCTCCTTGCTGGCAATGCACCTGGTCCAGAAGGCGTCCAAATGCATTCTCAATGCCATAAAAGTCCTCCCTCCGTGACCTGCCCTTCTGCTGGAGTTCGTTGCGATACCACATTGCAATTAGGCCGAATTCATGCATCGAACAAAGGGCCTCGGTCCACTACAAAACACTCCACATGCATTTGGACGCCTTCTGGACCAGGTGCATCCAAACACTCTACATGCATTTGGGCGCCTTCTGGACCAGGTGCGTCCAGACGATTCCAATATCGAATGAATCGGGTCCGGAAAGCGTCCAAATAAATGTATAGAGTGGTGTAGCGGAGTGACACCAAAAGACACAAGTTCACTCAGAGTAGCACACACCCACTCGGGAGCACGAGGGGATATCAGAGCCAAAACCATGAGATAGGAGAGTTCGAGTTTTGCTACAATCAACTTCCCAAGCGCACTTCTCCTCCCGAATAGAACATATGGTAATTATCTGTGTATCTGGACCGCAAGGCAGTCCAGATGCAGCTACAATGACGGTATGTTTCATTCGGGGAAAGACAGTAGTTCCTGTCTCTGTCGAGCTCAAAGAAGTTTGTGTACGATTGCGTGGGTGACTATGGCCGCCAAGCACAAACAAAAAAAAAGATGTAAATCTTTTAACGTCGACCCTCAGGTCTCTCTCTCTCTCTCTCTCTCTCTCTCTCTCTCTCTCTCTCTCTCTCTCTCTCTCTCTCTCTGTGTGTGTGTGTGTGTGTGTGTGTGTGAATACCGTCTCTCATCTACCTATAAAAGAGCCACAGCTATGATGTCCAGGGCCTGTTGACTACTGCCGTCTTCCCCTTATACAGAACGCCCGCTCACTATCGCTGCATCTGGACTGAAAGTTGGCCCAAATACAGGAGTAATGACCTGGCGTTCTCTTAGGGTGATGACGGCAGCTATCCTGTCTCTCTCTCTCTGACTGGCTCACCAGTCACTTGGTCGCTCTTTGGCACATCCGAGCTGTTCACACACAACAAGCACGAGTACCGAAGAGCGACCAAGTACATTGGACCAGCCGTCGGAACTAGCGACGAGCGATGGCATGAAATAGCTGTGGCGCTTTCATATGTGGTTATTCAGCTTCTAGCCCTTGGAACTGCAGACTGCAGACCGGGTTGACCTGGTACATTGCCAGCTTAGGTCTCTCGGTCTCGGCCTCTAAGGTTCCCTAGTAGTCGCTGGGACTGTGGGCCGCCGAAATTTCCCTGGGACCGTGGGCTGCTGACTGACCTGGGACTGGACTCAGTGGACTGACTGGCATGCCCTGCGGGACACCTAAGCGACCAAGTACATTGGGCCTACGGTACATGAAACAGGACTGACCAGACGACCGGTGCCCATACAGCTGTAGTACCGCGGGACTCTGCTTGCCTCACTGGCGGTGCAGTGCTGACGTGATGAGAATTTAGTTTTCCTTTCCAAGGATGTGTTCATTTAAAGTTTAAAGTTTAAACCAACGGTACATTTCAACGCTCGAAAGACAAATGCGCAGCGGTACCTGCCCGCCGCGAAATGGCTGACGGGAGCGGTCAAGTGCATCTGTGTGGAAACGGATTTCTGCGGTGCGGAGGGCAATTTCGGGCGTGCGGAAAAACAAAAGCGTGGCGGTACCTGCTAGTATGTGTGTGTAATCTGACTATAAGCTTCCCTCTGAACAGTGCGTGCAAGAATTCCAAGCACACGGCTCTCCATCAGTTTGGCAAGACTACTGAGTGTTTCCCTTCCATTTTCATCGCCGCGAAATGGCTGGTGGTGGCGGGCAGGTGCATCCGTGTGGAAACGGGTGTCTGCTGTGCACAGTGCAGTTTCGGACCCGCAGCCGATATATGAGAAAGGTACTGGCGGCTTAATAATTTTCAATACTCAGGGGGCGGCACCAAGGTCGAAGCGTGTGGCCCCCTATCTCCTGAATGAACCATGCCAGATTTTTGGCCCTGATTCGTTCCAAAATTGGATGCCGCTGGCCTGTGCTGGGAGAAGAGATCCACCCACCACGTCACTGCCAAAGGATCTCATGATGACGAACTCTGTGTTTGTGCGATATGGAGATTGCTGACAGGTTTAAAAAAAAAAAAAAAAGAAAAAAAAAAAGAAAGAGATTGGTGACAGGTTAAGACAAAAAAAGGGGAAAAAAAGCAGCAGCTATAGACAAAGTCTGCTATAGGTTCTCGTCACCAGATTACTGCGAACCTATTGCAGACTATAAGCTATTCCCTGAGCTGAGCTAACATGGAATAGATAACATGTATGCTATGCTATTCCCTGAGCTAATATGGAATAGATAACACGTATGAACATAGGATATATATATATTAAAAAAAAAGAAAAGAAAAGGATTATTAACTCAGCGAATAGGCGTTGCTAAAACGGAATAGCAATGGGGAACAGGGATTTAGGGTTTAGGGTTTAAACTTTAAAGCACCAGTACACCACTTTTCGGCCCGCGGGTGTTAGCATGAAACCCGCAACACTTGGGAGGCCGCCGATTTTTTTTTTTCCAACGGCGGGCCTGGCCGCGCAGCGCCTCCGAGTTTTGCATGTGGTGACAAAAACTTTCTGCAAGGCTGGGGCCGTGTGGTAGCGGTTTAAGGTGTACACTGTGTGGTAGCGGTATAAGACAAAAAACTTTCTGCAAGGCTGGGGCCGTGGGGTGTATTTGCACATTCAGTAGGTGTAAGGTGGGTTTTAAGGTTTGGGGTGTGTATTTGCACACTCAGTGGGTGTACCGCGGCTGCTGGGGTCTTGCTGTAGTCTTCGGCATGCCGGTCCTGTGCAAAGCTGGCTGTCTTTCGGGACATCCGTTAAAATTGGAACGATACAGAGAAGGAAGATTAGCATGGCCCCTGCGCAAGGATGGCACGTATACATCGACCAAAGCGGGCATGAAGGGCAGAACAGCCTCGGTGCTCTGAAACAGTGTTGGAAGAGGCACCGAACAGCCATGGAGCAGCGACGGCAACAGCCATGGACCAGCCATATGCCACAGCCATATGAAGGACCGCGCAACAGCGATGGAACAGTCTTCGAGGTAACGGCCATGGAAAAGCCACCCAAAAGGCGATGCAACAGCCATGGAATAGGCTTGGTCTAATCACAGAATAACGTCGGAACAGCCTAAAGAAAATAGCCATGGAATAGGCTTTGGTCTAACCGCCGAAAATGCGTATTTAAAACTCGTTGGGTCTTTCGTATTGCGGGCAAAGACCTAAAGAAACCATTGGAAGAGACATGCAAACAGCCATGGTAACAGCTGTAGCTGTTACCATGGTTCCATTCCTGTTCCCGCAGTAACAGCCATGGGACCATGGTTCCATTCCTGTTTCCATGGTATTCCATACCCGTCAAGTAACCGTGGTAACGGCAGCCATGGTAACAGCCATCAAATAACCGTAGCCTTGCAAGGCTATNCCATGGTATTCCATACCCGTCAAGTAACCGTGGTAACGGCAGCCATGGTAACAGCCATCAAATAACCGTAGCCTTGCAAGGCTATAAGGGTATGGAAACAGCCATGGTAACAACTGTCGAGTAACCATAGCCTTGCAGTGATGGAAGTAACCATGGTTTTTCCATGGTAACAGCTGTCGAGTAACCATGGTATTCCATACCCGTCAAGTAACTGTGGTAGCGGCAGCCATGGTAACAGCCATCAAATAACCGTAGCCTTGCAAGGCTATGGAAACAGCCATGGTAACAGCTGTCGAGTAACCATAGCCTTGCACACTTGCAGTGATGGAAGTAACCATGGTTTTTCCATGGTAACAGCCTTGGCCCATGGTAACAGCCATGAATACCGTCGTCACTGCAAGGCTATCGAAAGAGCCATGGGAACAGCCGTCGAGTAAACATAGCCTCGCACTGACGACTGTATTTGAGCCGAAAAGTGGTGCGACTATTCTGGATTGAGCCCAAGCATCCAGTGCGTTCGTGCTCTCAGCCGAGTGCAAGCGTCCGTTCCATTTGTGATTGAGAGCGTACTCACACTAGCAATTTTTTCTTTGATGTATCTGGCTGCAAATAGGAATCCTTGCGGAAGTATCTGACCACAATTCCGGCCAGGGCATAGTTGAATAATCCCCAGTGTGAGTGTGCCCTGCAACCAACCATCCATTCCGTTTTTGATTGGTTGAGCGGCTTGAGCCCAAGCATCTACTCCGTTTGTTCTTGGTTGAGCGAACTGTGAGTGAATCCATTCTGCACGTATGGATAGGTTCAGTCACTTCAGTGATTTAAGTTCTGAATTGATTTATTGATTTGATTTCTGTTAATTATTGATGTGATTAAATACTATGGTGTTTGTTTTTCGAGTAGAAAAATAATATATTATATGCACGTGAGAGGCACAGTGGAGGTGGAGTTCAAAGAAGAATGAGAAATTTAATGGTTTCAATCTGCCCTTGTTTTTTCTTTTTCTTTTTCTTTTTCTTTTTCTTTTTATTTTTGCATGTTATCACTGTGCCCGTTTTTTGCTTTTATTCTTTGTTCCGCAAAGTGCGCTCTTTTAGTTTGTAGTGATGTGACAATATATATATATATCCTCTTCTCCCTCTCTGCCTACGGTTTACGGGGCAGTTCTATTTGACGATATATATATATTATATATATAGGTTTAGGGTTTAGGGTTTAGGGTTAAGCTTATTTTTTACTTTATCGAATACACGTATTATTCAATCAATAAATAATAAATAACATTTATTTTTTGTTCATATTTCTTTTACGTTAGAGATTCTATAGAACAAAAAACACATACGTGATGATGGGGCTTATTTTGGCTTTCAGCAAATGTTTTGTCTTCCGGACACTCCATATTGGACCGTGGAATAGCACGCAATTAATTACACCCAGCCCATGTGGGTTGAGGTGTGCTGATGAACAGGTCAGGAGCTTGAATCCTGATGTAATCAGATAGAATAATTTTAGGGGCTTCTGAAAAGGTGGCGGCGGTGCGCCATTAACCATTGGTGTGTTTGTCGTGGTGTCTGTGCTGCCTGTGTGCCAATCCATTTGTGCAGATTCCACAATTGACAGCTTCAGCCCCATTCGACGTGGCAACAAAGACCTTCTCTATGTGACAAAGAGAGAGAGAGAGAGAGAGAGAGAGAGAGAGAGAGAGAGAGAGAGGATGTTGGTGGAGCATGCAGAGTCTGCTGTAAGATGAGACGAGAGAGTGGAGATCTGGACGCAAGACCCATCATTACTATTTTATATTTTTAACTTTTAAGGCTATTTAGTATTTTTTTAAATGTATTTTGCTATTTTGGGTGGGGAATAAAGAACCTTTTCCCATTGCTATTTAAGTTTGCGGAAATCTACAGCCGAGATCAGGCCTCAAGACCCTATCCATCCATTGAACCTGGTCTTCACTTCCATGCACTCTTTCAACCACGAGTTGGACTGAACTGGAAACGCAATTGGAACTGGAAGTGGAACAAGAACAGGAACCAATGCCAGAACTGGAACAGAATAAAGACCAGATCTGGAGCCAGATGCAGAACCACGGGTCGAACAGGGAACAAGAGTGGAGTCAGGGCTGGGCCTAGGACCACAGTCGTAAGCAAGGCGCTACCGTCTTCCCCCCGAACACAGCGCACCCTGATTTTCACTGCATCGGGCTGGAAACATCCTTTGTATACGTTCATTTTCAGGGTGCGTTATGTTCGGGGGAAGACGGTAGTACTCCCAGGACCAAGAGCAGAGCAAGTCACACAGGAACTTCGACAAGTTCTTCAACCCTGACGAGATTGGTCCGATCTTCAAACTGCGGCATTGCGGCTGCAATGGCCTCGGAGAAGAACGATAGGTGGAACGTGGACGCGGTCACGGAGCTATTGTTTGCAGCTGCAACCAGGAGTAGACCAAGTGGTACAGCCATGAATACTGTCGTCGTCTCTTCAAGGCTCTCGAAACAGCCATGGGAACAGCCGTCGAGTAGCCATAGCCTCGCAGGGACGACTGTATTTGAGCCAGGAGTAGACCAAGTGAAGTGCAGTTGCCTCGGAGAGGAACGGTGGGTGGGTGAAACAGTGACCAGGAGGGGATATACCAAGGGCTGGAACCGTCTTTTCGCCCACACGGAATATCTGGTCGTTGTATCTGTGCAAGTTTCTGTCTAGATGCAGTGTAATGACCAGGTTTCCTATTCGGGTAAAGCCAATAGGACCGGGCCGAGGAGTTACCACACGGAATATCTGGTCATTGTAGCCGTATTTGGTGCAAGTTTCTGTCTAGATGCAGTGTAATGACCAGGTTTCCTATTCGGGTAAAGACAATAGGACCGGACCGAGGAGTTGTTACTATTTTGGGAGGACCAAGAGTAGAAGACGTAGTATTGGAACTTCAACCGGAACAAGATGGGTTTCGAACTGCTGCGATTGCATTCTGGGAAATCAGGAATTGAATCTGGCTGGAGAGGGCAGCTAGATTCCTTCGGCAGAAATTGAGCCTGGCTCGATAACTAGGGTTCCGTTCACTTGCTTCTCCTCGAGTTTGGATTCGCGGCCTCTGCGAGTACGACATATATGGTTAGTATGTCTGTATTTGGATCAATTTTCACTCTAGATACTGAGAGAGGGGGGGGGGGGGGGGGGGGGGGGGGAGGGGGGGTGTAAAGGAGGAGGAACACTCTTTATCTTCAGTGTTTCGCCTGCAATCTTGGTCTGTTCATACTACCGTCTTGCCCCAACTAGAACGTATGGTTATTTTGTCTGTATTTGGGTCAATTTTCTCTTTAGATACATCGATAATGACCATAGGGTGTACACACTCTATTCGGGGGAAGACGGTAGCCGACCGACTGCGGTACGACGTTGCGAAAACAATCGACCGACGATCTCAATTTAGCGTATACTTGAAACTATTGGGTGAGCTCATGTAGTCCATCTGTACAGAATCAAGGATCGCGTCTCCATTCATCCATTCAGTCAGCAGTCAGGTGTGAACGCGAATTCCAGCAGTTCGCTGATTAACAAGAGCTTTGTTCTTGTTCTGTCTGATAGACCACATGTCGGCATTTATTTTTCCTTTTTTTCACATGTTGGCATTTTTCTTTTTATTTTTGTTCTTCTTTTTTTTCCCCCTCACATATCGGTATTCTTCCAGCAGTTGTTGTCAAAGTGGCTCGTAAGTTCTTATCCGACGAATGACAGCTTTCTTCTTCTCCTGCATGTGGCCGAACATGGGGTCCACATTCATCCAGCACTCAGGTGTGAAAGCAGATTCTTGCAGCTCACTGATTAACGAGGGCTTTGTCCGCGTGCTCTATGCAGCTTGTGCCGTATTTGGCATGAAATCAGGTCTGCATTCATTTCTCTTGAGTTCTTTGTCTGCATTCGTGCACCAACTCAGTGAGGAGTGCTTTTTTTTGCCAAAAAAAAAAAAAAAACAAACAAACAGAGGAAGGTGGTATATAACAGGGGTTGGTAGCAACTGTTTATTAAATAATTAAAGTTATTAAACCCCCACCAGTACACCCGGCCCTGGAGGCGCCTTACTGCGTGCCAGGCTTTTCCGAACCGCCCGCGGCGCACGTCCTTTTTTTCTAGGCTGGGGCCGCCAGCCATTGTGCATTGCGGTCCTGTAGGCGGAGCCTCCGAATTATCCGTACGCGACGCGTTGCATTTTCAGCAAGGCTGGCCAGTGGTCCTGGGGCCATCAACTGTTTATTAAACCACCAGTACTTCCTAAAGTCGTGCCCGTTAACGCTACGCAATTTTAGGAAACGTACGGGCCACTACAGGAGTGCCCAAATTCATCCGACTAGAAACGTTTCTACTCTTTTTTTTCCCGTGGCCGGTAGCTGGGCCAACGACTGTTTATTAAGAAGTTGTAAAATTGAAAACACAGGACTCCGGCATAGCATGATTTATAGACCAGTGCGACGGAGGGGAGGGGGGTTTGATGCCAGTTTGCGGAGCCAGCAGTATTTGTGTCAAATCTGTCGATAGATGTGAAAAATTCTGCCAATGACAGACGAGGGAGGCATCTTCCAGGTATCTTCCAAAACGACGGTGTCATGCAGTTCTTCGTTTCTTATTTTTTATTTTTTATTTTGGCAGGGGGTTGCGGGAGGCGAGGGGGGGTTGGAGGGGGGATTGGGGGGTATTGGGGGGGGGTTGTGGAAGAGTGTAACAGATTGTAGCAGCCAGCATGGGGTGTCGAAACACTTGACTCTTTTAGCCCATCGGAGCGGAGGATGGGTCTGCCAGCGCCCTTCAAAACAAACCATCTCTCACAGTTTCTTTTTTTTTGTGGATGTGTGTGTGTGTGTGTGTGTGTGTGTGTGTGTGTGTGTGTGTGTGTGTGTGTGTGTGTGTGCAATCTTTTCTCAGTATTGGTCTAATTTTAGTGGTATCATTCCAGTTTTAATGGATGTCCCGAGGCATCTCGCTACCGTTAATTGATTATTATTAATTGATTATTATGGAACAGACGAAAAACATTATCTTCGAAGTTCGAATCATAGAACAGACAACCATTACTATCCTTTTAATTACAGAACAGACATCCACTAAGATTATCCACTAACATTATCCACTAACATTATCCACTTAAGATTATAAACTGGTTCTTGGGACGAAGGTCTCTTCTCATCTACCCTCTTCGCCCGAATACAACGTACGGTTATTATAGCTGTATATAGCCTGGAAGATGCCCCAAATTCAGCTATAACGACCGTGCGTTGTATTCGGCGGAAGACTGCAGCAGAAAGGGGAGTGTCTTTTGAACTTTTTTCTTCTTTTTTTTTATGTCGAGTTGTCTTTTTTTTTTGTTTGTTTACTTTTTTTTTTGGGAAAGATGTCACCTTTATTTCGAAAGGAAGGGGAGTGTTGTTCAGCTGGTTTGTAGAAATTATAGCCATGGTGGATGTGAGACATGCACATAGCATTCTTGTAGTTGGGGTAAACGTTAGCAGTTTCGGAAGAGAGGAACATTACTTTTTTTATTATTTTTTCCATAATAATAAAATAATAATATAGTATTAACGGTAATAATTTAATTTAATTAGAAAAAAAACAAAAAAATCAAACTGTGCCTCTGGCTGCCAGTGGACTGGGTGTGGGGGGCCAGAGTATTCGGGTAGCTGGGGAAAGAGGGTCGGGATAGGATGCCAGAGGCTCGAGATGAGGGGAGATAGTGTCTGGACAGGAGGGGAGTAGTGAAGGACCAGTGGGGGTGTAGCGCGATAGCTCTCTCTCTCTCTCTCTCTCTCTCTCTCTCTCTCTCTCTCTCTCTCTCTCTCTCTCTCTCTCTCTCTCTCTNTCTCTCTCTCTCTCTCTCTCACACACACACACACACACACACACACACACACACACACACACAATGGCCCACTTGTTTGCTGTGAAAAAGAGGCAGAGTAAAGGGTGTGGCATGAAACAGAGTGGAAAGAGGGAGAGAAAGAAGGCCTCTCTCTCTCTCTCTCTCTCTCTCTCTCTCTCTCTCTCTCTCTCTCTCTCTCTCTCTCTCTCTCTGTTTTATTTCTTTGTTTTGTTTTTTTTTCCATCCTTTTCAAAAACGAGAATCTTGTTTGCGTTTTTCTTTGTTGTTTTTTGTTTCAATAAATGAAGACTTTCCTGCCACCGCCAGCTCTAGGCTCGGCTAGGCTCGACATAGCGGTAGCGGGAGGCTTCAAGTTGGACTTGACAGCTGGGCCAAGTTCTGTTGGTTTGAAACGACTCCCCTGCCTGAGCATTGTGTAGTTCCCGTTGTCGAACCACGGCTGTTATAGGATGACCACAGTTGGAATAATAATTCCTTCCCTGGTATAATGATCATCCGCAAAGAGATTATTCCAACCAGAATTAGATTCCATTGAAGCTCGATCCACAAAATTCTGCAAGTCTTCTTGTAAAATACTAGAAGTACATGTGGGATATGTTTGGTGTGTATTTTTCCAACCATCCTGATTTTGCGTCGTATATTAACAGATTATAGTATCATCCAGATAAAGCGACCATATGCTCGGCCGAACCAACCAACCGGATTGGAATCGAAAATCCATATATATATATGCCAGAAGGAAGAAAAGTGGTAAAGTCGATGAATGAAGCACTACAACATGGAAAGATACACCGCCAGATTTTTTTGTCTTTCGTGCACATTCGCATAGTGGAGCCAGGCCCAGAGTATCTAATCTGGGTTGGCCTTGAAACGTCTGCCCGTGGCTTTGTCATTGCCCACTATTTCCAGAGTCGCTTAACCCTAAACCCTAAAGGGAGAGGGGTTTGCCAGTTTGCCCTGCTGTTTCGCCTGCTCTTTCTTTTTATTATTATATATTAAATTTTAAAACAACTTTCAATTAAGACCGGGGAGCAGGCCTGGCTTACCTCACATGAATGCTGCAGTAGCATGGGGCTGAGAAAGGCACTCCTACTCTTTTTACATCCATGTGTCCGCACACTCTCTTTCTTTCTTTCTTTGTTTCTTTGTTGCTTTCTTTGTTTCTTTCTTTGTTTCTTTTTTTCTTTCTTGTTTGTTTGTTTCTTTCTTTCTTGCAGACCACACTCTAACGGGGGAAGGGTCTCTCACTGTAGCGCATCGAGATGTCCTTTAGGCTTGGACCCCACTGGCCGGCGGCGTGGAAGTCATTTTCCATTTCCATGTTTACGGGAGCCCACTGGACCGCGAGGAAGGTGCGCCAATGCGAATTCGGGACCCCACTGCCAATGCCGGAGTGTCGTGGAAAACCGTTGGAAACGTTTCCACATGGTCGGCGGCTGGAAAGAACTGTCAGACCGTCCGGCGACTGTTTTCCAAAACCAATGTTTTTTGAGACGGGGNGGGGGGGGGGGGGGGGGGGGGGGGGGGCATCCCTAAACATGCCGTACCAGGCACGGGCGGCCTGGTCCAGTGCACGATGGGGTGGACCGTTTCTTCAAAGCACGGACAACAGGGGTGCGTCGCACCGTTCGGGTGTGGGAGCGTTCCGTTCCGCGGGTGCATTTCGGGAAGGGCAGTCCTTTTCCACAAGCCGGCGAGACCGTGGCGGTGGGGCCTCGACTTTTTCTGGAAATGTTTTTCCAGACGGCATTGGCCGTTTTCCGCGGCAACCATTTTTTCCAACCGCCGAGCAGTGGGGTCCAAGCCTTAGTTGTATGTTGCTCTCTTTGTTCACATGCTCTCTTTCTGCAGTCTTTTTTTCTTTTATGTTTTTTTTTTCTTTATGTTAATAACACATTGGCTTGTTCAGTCTTTTTTTTTTTAATGTTTTTTTTTTCAGATGACACTCTTTCCCAACCCAATGTGTGACGATCATTGCGGTCTCTCAAACCCTGGGCTACCAGCCGTGCCGCCCGGGTCCCCAAAGCTGGCCCGGGAACTGCCCGGGACAACCGGCCGGGCAAATGGTAGTCAAAATGTCGACAACAGAGCAATCATCAATAGCGAGTCAACCCAGCAGCCAACGTTAGCATTGCCACAACAAAGCAACCAGCGGTCGAAAAGGGATAAGAAAAATAGATAGAAGAGAGAGAGAAAAAAACTGGCAATTTTAACTGTCGCGTTCGGGATTTCGTCGATTTTATCCTGTCTTGTCTCCTTCTCCCTGTTTTTTTATCTCTCTCTCCCTCTTTTCTCCTCGTTCTTCTCTTCTTCTTTTTCTCTCTCTCCTTTTTCTCTCTCTCTTCTATCTATTTTTCTCTTCTTCTTTTTCTCTCTCTCCTTTTTCTCTCTCTCTTCTATCTATTTTTCTTATCCCTTTGCGACCGCTGGTTGCTTTGTTGTGGCAATGCTAACGTTGGCTGCTGGGTTGACTCGCTATTGATGATTGCTCTGTTGTCGACATTTCGAGTACTATTTCGACTACCGTATCCCACCAAAAAATAAAAAAAAATAAAAAATAAAAAAAATCAAGTTTTTGAAAAAATTGAAAAAAAAGTATGTTGTGCAGAATAGCAAACCAAACAACTATTGGCTGCGGGTCACTTCCAAATTCTTCAGAGAATTTAAAATAAAAGTAAAATAATGTGAGGAAAATCATCTCACACCCTTTATAGGCCTTTCAACCCCTTTCAGACCACTTATGGGCCCTTAAACCCCCCCCCCCCCAATCCCCCTTGCCCTCCAAAACTGACATGAACCAAACAAATGTATAAAACCGGATTTGGGTCCCTCTCCGAGGGCGCAAAAATGCCCCATCATAAGGGGGGGGGAATTAAAAAAATTGACTCTTTTTTTTACTCGCCCGGGTGACCCGGGCAAAAAGGTCCTAATTGCACTGGCCCGGCTGCCCGGCCTGGCCCGGCTACATTCATGTTGTTCCTGGCGGCGACTCTAGTTTAGAGTTACGGAAAAGGAAAACTACTTGGCTGTGAATCATCTCAGTGCAAAATCTCTCTTGCCTGCAAAGACAAATCATAGATACTTTTTTTTGTTCATCTGTTCAAAAGCAAAATTGCATATTTCCAATTCTTTCTTTTGAATGCGCATATTTCCGATTCTTTCTTTTGATTGCGTACCAGGGTCCACGGACACTAAACCTTTCCCAAATGACTTTCTGAATGAAGTGGAAGAAGGGTTCGCAGAAGCAGCGTCGTCCAAACTTGGTTGTGGATCTCGAGGAAAAAAAAAAAAAAAACTTGGTTGTGGATACGTAACATTGGTTTCGCACCAAATCTGTCATTCTGACAACTTGAGAATTTTTTTTTTGAAAGAAACTTGTCCAGTTCTGTTTGGAACCAGCGTTCCATATTTACCAACTCTTGCACCGGGTTCCACGTGGGACCGGGTCCCACGTGGGACCTGTTCACAATCTATCTACAAACTCTTTGAAAGGGTACCACGTGTGTAAACATTTAGCTAAAACATTTGCAGAAAAGTCGTCAAAACTACCGCTCAGGTTAGGCAGTTTTTTCATGTAGGAGGAGCTCCCCCCCTAACCATCTTTCCATTGCTTAGGTGACTTCCATGTAGGAAGAGTATGATATCAGGTTTAGTTTTCTTATTTCTCATCTTGTGCAGCCAAAACGAGGGTGCGTTATGTTCTCGCGACGATGGAAGTGCAGAGAGAGAGAGAGAGAGAGAGCAGCCAAAATGAGGGTGCCTTATGTTCTCAGGACGATGGAAGTGCAGAGAGAGAGAGAGAGAGAGAGAGAGAGAGAGAGAGAGAGAGAGAGAGAGAGAGAGATCTGAGTGTTTTGAGCCCTACTACACGGGTGGAGAGGGGTTGGGACGGCTGGTCAGGGCAGTTTCTGCCTTTTTAGTTGGGGAGATTACACTCACTGTGTGCGTACTCCTGCAAAACCCGCATAGAAAAAGAAAAAAAAGAAAAAAAAATGCTTTTTTTCGGCTGGAAACGGACGCTGTATGCACTTGAGAGGGCGCAGTATGGGCACATACTAGTACGCAGCATGCACGTACATCGCGTTCGAAGTGACGATTGACATCCAGAGAAATTGCAACAGAACCCCTGCCTGCCCCGTGGACAGCACTATGGGTACTCGACCGTCGACCTGGGTTCACACTCATGATTTCAGACCCTAAGCCCTTATCAACAACCCATAGATAACGGCTTGGATCCGAATCCGTCAGACTGGCATCAAATCAAACCCATGGGATGACGGCACCACGCGGTATCCAGACTGACCACACATTTTGAGCCCCCATAACTGTGAGCATTGACTGTGTCTGTGGAGTCTTGAGCCTGGGACCTGTTGTTGTGCACACGTAAAGGCAGTACTCAGTACCATATGTGAGGTAAGTGTGTCTCCAGCAAGCTATCCCCAAGACTATGAGGCAGCGGGGAAGAGGGAAGAGCCCCGGGAGACAAAACTCCCAAATTTCAAATTTGTCACTTGCCAGAGTTTATTTAGTGCAAACAAACAAAAAAAAACAAAAAAAACAAAAAAAAGAGTTTATTTAGTGCGGTGCCAGTTCATGGAAATATCCTGATACATTGGGAATATACTGTAGTGGAGCGAACCCCTTTGCCAGCTACTGGCCATTTCTTATTTCCTTTTTTCGCTAAAGTATACTGAGACTGCTATGACTGCTATCGCTCAATAGAACCTATTCTAGTCCCAGTACACTGCGAGAGAGAGAGACTATTGTGACTAAAAAGTCCTTACGAGAGAGAGAGACTATTGTGACTAAAAAGTCCCTACGGTAGGTATAGGTACTATTGTGACTAAAAAGTCCCTACCTTTCTGTACAGTACCTATTGGAGGTTCTTGCCGCTGCCCTACTGTCTTTGCCCGATTAGTATAAAACGCATTGTCAGTATAGCTGTATTTGGGGCACCTTTAAGTCTATAGATACAGCAAAAAGATTGGGGCACCGTTCAGCTTATAGATACAGCAAAAAAAAATCTGTATAGGCTGTATTATAGCCTGTATAACTGTACTTAGGGCACCTCTAAGTCTATGCCTAGATACAACAAAGAAATTTGGGGTCCTTTCGGTTTTTCTATACAGCAAAATAATAATAATAATAATAATAATAATAATAATAATAATAATAATAATAATAATAATAAATCGGGTGGTTGCAGATTCCCAACACAGAAAAAAGGAGTTCCTTTGTTTTGAGATGGGTAGTGGAAAAGACCTTCAGCATTTTGCAGTCGACTTGCTCAGCTGCATTTTGCAGACTGCTGGAAGGTCCTAAAATGTCATTTTTACTAATTTTTTAGTTCTTTCTCATCCTATTGGGCCTGGCATTGTTTTCCCTATAGGCCATATAGGGCACTTGAGCTGTTCATTCTGGGAGAGCTGGTTGGTTCCAAGCTGTGATTTTTCCTTCTTCTTCACTAGCAGGTCTGACGCTGATGCTTTTACTTGTTTTCCATCCTTTTATGGGCCGGCATTTTTGTACTTTCCGTCGCTGCTAGTTTTTCAGCGCTTGCACTTTATTTCTGGGAGTACTGGTATACTCCCGAGCTCTCATTTTTCTTTCTTCTTCATCTTGTTGGCGCCGGAATTTTGTCCTTTTGCGCACTTCCCCTGTGTTTTGGGGACTGTGCATAACTCCCAAGCTGTCTTTTTTTTTTGTTTTTCAGACTTCCTCTTTTCCTTTTTTTTTCTGAAGCGATATCATTGTGGAACTGACTGGCCCCAGGTAATTCAGAAATTCACTCAACTACCTTCTTCCCCCGAATACAACGTACGGTCATTATAGCTGTATTTGAGGCATCTTTCAGTCTAGATACAGCTATAATGACCAGGTGAAGAAGGTAGTTCCATCTAGATTTGAGCTCACATGTGTGTGTCAAAAGTTTTAATGGGTGTAACAACTGAGCCAGTCCCTTCCGTGTTGTTTTTTCTCCTATTTTTCCAACTTGTTAGGGCTGGCATTTTGTCCGTTTCCGCGCTGTGGTCTGTGTCACCGCACGATATAGCGGACCCATTAGAATCCCTTATTAGGGCTGTTCCCCTTTGGTCTCCTTTGCCGTATACCGTCTTTACCCGAGCATGAAGGGCCTGAGGATGAATGTTTATGAACTTATGAAACAACGTGCTCCTTTAATATAGAATGTTTTCATTACACCGCGCATTTAACGTTATTGTTGTGTCCATCTCATCCGACAAATAACTGCATGCATGCATGCATGATCGTGTAGTAGCTGCATGCATGATCAATAGCTGCATAAACAATAGTTACATGATCTATAGCTGCATGCACGACAAATAGCTGCATGCATGATCAGATCAGTAGCTACATTATCAATAGCTGCATGATCTATAGCTGCATGCACGACAAATAGCTGCATGCATGCATGACAAATAGCTGCATGCATGCATGACAAATAGCTGCATGCATGGATGATCAATAGCTGCATGCATGCATGACAAATNACAAATAGCTGCATGCATGCATGATCAATAGCTGCATGCATGCATATGATCAATAGCTGCATGCATGCATGACAAATAGCTGCATGCATGCATGATCAATAGCTGCATGCATGATCTATAGCTGCATGCACGACAAATAGCTGCATGCATGACAAATAGCTGCATGCATGATCAGATCAGTAGGCTACATTATCAATAGCTGCATGCATGATCAGTAGCGACATTATTAATAGCTGCATAAACAATAGCTGCATGATCTATAGCTGCATGGACGACAGTAGCGGCCATATCAATAGCTGCATAAACAATAAGCTGCATGATCTATAGCAGCATGCACGACAAATAGCTGCATGCATGACAAATAGCTGCATGCATGACAAATAGCTGCTTGCATGCATGATCAGATCAGTAGCTACATTATCAATAGCTGCATGCGTGATCAATAGCTGCCTGCTCAATAGCTGCATGCTCAATAGCTGCATGCCCGACAAATAGCTGCATGCATGACAAATAGCTGCATGCATGATCAATAGCTGCATGCATGCTCAGTAGCTGCATGCACGACAAATAGCTGCATGCATGACAAATAGCTGCATGCATGATCAGGAAGTTAGATGCATCATGATCAATAGCCGCATGTTTGTACCTTCGGTCCACGGTTGAGATGTATCAACGGACCCGGTTGGATCTGTAATATTCTGTATACAACAGGATTCCAACCTTTCATCTGCTGCTGATAGGTAACTGCATGTTTGTACCTTCAGCTACTACCGTCTTCCCCCGAACACAACGCACCCTCATTTTGACTGCATCGGACTGGAAAGACGGCTTGTATACGTTCATTTTCAGCGTGCGTTATGTTCGGGGGAAGACGGTAGGACCGTGCTTCGTGAAGAAGTTGGGTGAGTTGCAGAAAGCACTCTAAGGGTATACTGACAGTCGGACGTTTCCCACTGCTCTCTGGACGAAATTGCGGTCACATTCATCCATGAGCAGTCGTAAATCCAGTCGGCTACGTCCAGCAAAATCCTGAAGGAAGTATGCTCTGAGAAGAAAACGTCTGCTGACCTGCATAAAGGCAGACTGCGAAATTCCCCGTGGCAAAGCCAGACGTGGTTCGGGGAGGGCACCTAAGGTAGACTGAGGGAGGGGTGGCCTGGGGTGAAGCTGTTTTTTCTTTTTCTTTTTTTCTTTTTTTTTGGTTGGGGGGGGGGGAAAGGGGGGGGAGATCCCGTTTAAAACCCGTAGAATTTGCAGAAACTAACGCAAAATTGAAATGCCATTGTTCCACAGAACTTGAAAAAAAAAAAGAAAAAAAAAAAGAAAAAATCGGCACAAACGTAGGACCTGTTCTTCTTTTCCCTCCTCTAAAACAATGTCCCTGCTGTTCAATTACGTGGCCCCCATTTCAAGCTCTCGGCCATTTCATCCAAGTCCGTCACCATCGCCGCCACTATCACCATCACGCTGTTCTTCTTCCTCTTCTTCCATCCGTGTCATCCCTTGCACAGGGCCCATGCTACCGTCTTCCCCCGAACATAACGCACCCTAACAATGAACGTATACAAGCTATATTTCCGGCCAGATACAGCCAAAATAAGGGTGCGTTGTGTTCGGGGGAAGACGGTAGTCTCCTCTGTATCGTTCCAACTTTGACGGATGTCCCGGAGGACTCTTCTTCTTCTTCCCCCTCCACGACCTCGCCTCCCACAGACGCCAACATCGTGTCCAAACTTCTGTTGCCGCCATTGTTCTCATCTCTTCATCTCTTTGCCACAATCACCTTCTTCTTCTTCTTCTTCTTCTTCTTCTTGGCGTCCTCCTCCCCCTCTTCACATCTTGTTAAAATGCCTCGCCGTCGCACCCCTATTGTCATTAATCAGTACCATCAGTTATGCCCCTACTCTCCCACGCCTCACACACTGCGCGAAGCGCCTTCCTCCTCCTACTACTACTACTCCTCCTCGTTACGCCACGTCCACCATCACGTAACGGTTTTGAACAGCGACGTCTTCGTCAAACCGCTCGTCACTGGGACGTCACGGCGGCGCTCTATCCATATCTTCTTCCTCCCCTAAGTCGATCAACCACCCCCTCTCCTCCCCTTCCCCATCCCCTCTTCCGCCTTCCGCTCCTCTTCTCCTCCTCTTCCCCTCCTCTTCCCCGCCTCTTTCTCTCCCTTTTTTTTCACCCCGCCTCCTTGCCTCCATCATTAGCCCTTTTAACTCATTTTGACTTGTCCAGCACTTCTTGAATAACTGCCCTCGCCACAGGGTGATACCTCGGCGCCGCATCGGCAAAGGTTTTGCGCGCCAACTCCTTGGCCGCGCTTGATCCGCTTGCCATGAGTCCACTGTACAGCGGCCGCAAGTATTTCATTCTCCCGATCGTCATCAAACTGCGCACGATCATCGGGAAACACGGTTGGAACGCAGAGTTCGCGGCGATCGTCAAGAAGGAGACGAGTATCTCCAAGTTCTTCGCCTTCGAGAACTGGAACCGTTGATCTAGTTCCCGCAGATCGGCAGCTTTCATCTTCTGGGGCATATTGTCTAGATAGATCTGCCATTCTTCCCACTTCCACGTGGCGCAATCGGAGTCCGACACGTGTACACCTGACGAGAACCCCTTGGCAAGCCCGAGAACCTGGTCGAGAACCTTCGAGACGGTTCGCGGTGCATCCTCTGGCAACCCCTCGCCATCCATCCAAGTCCCTAAATCGATCCTGTGTTCGATTCCAGACACGTTCACCTTCAAGAAATCGACAAACTCCGTCGTTGTGATCGATTGAAAGCGAAAGCGACTAATATACTTCTTCAGGAAGATGTCGAACGCTTCCCTACCCATCTCATTCTCTAGGCGGCGCAAGAATAAAAACCCCTTTTCGTAAGGGACGGTAGAAAAAACAAGGTCGGGATCCACGCCTTCTAGATCCCCCCGAAGTCTGGTTAACTGCGGTCTATCTTTGAACCGTTCGATTTCTTGATGCAGGTGGTCCCAACCAATGGCAGCCTGTAGAGCCGCCACGTCAGCACCTGCGATCTTCTCCACGATCCGCCTCTCCGCGTACGTCGTGAAGCCTTCGTTAAGCCAGAAGTCGTTCGCTGTGGCGTTGGTAACGAGGTTGCCCGTCCAGCTGTGCGCCAGCTCGTGTGCGACCACGTTGACCAGCGACCGGTCGCCCACGACCAGCGCGGGGGTTAGGAATACCATGCGCGGGTGTTCCATCCCGCCGTAGGGAAAGGCGGGCGGGAGGACCAGCACGTTGAATTCCTCCCAATCGTACGGACCGAACAAGCTTTCAGCCTGGGAGATCATGCTCTCCACCTCAGCAAATTCAAAAGCAGCTGCCGCCAAAATGGACGGCTCAGCGTAGACTTGGCTGCGCGGGCCGATCCGGCAAGATACGATATCGCCAACGGCTAGTGCGACAAGATACGGCGGGATCGGCTGATTCATGCGGAACTTTTCGATCGCACGATCCCCGCCCCCTCCCCCGCCTCCGCCCGGCGCATCTTCATCTTCCCGCCGACACGCCACTTCTTCTCCGTCCTCTTTTTTTGTCGTTAGCTCCCCCGCCGCACGCCCCGTCGTTGTCGCCGGTGGCGGCGCCAAATCCACTCGACCCACGTGTTCCGCGGACATTACCGCGCGCGCGCTGCGCGGGATATTGACGTCCGCCGTGTAGCGGATGCGCGCGCGCGGGGTGTCTTGACAGGGAAACACCGAGCGCGCGTGAATCGCTTGGCAGTGAGTGTACACGTATGGCAGTTTCCCGCCTTCCGTCTGCGCCGGCTCTAGCCATTGCAGAGCGGAAGCCGACGAAGAGGTGCGGAAGGAGATCGTCACCGACCGTCCGATCAACGACAGGCGCAATCTTGACCCTTTGATCGGCACCGGCTTTTCCAATTCGAATGTGATTGGCTTGCCTGTTGATGAGTCGACCGCGCCATCGATGTGGAGGTCCCGCGTGTCCAGATCGAGAACCCCGTTGGCGGGTCGATCAAGCTCCAGCGTGGCACTTCCGGAGATAACCTTCGCCTCGAAATCCACGTGGAGATTCAGATGAATCGTTTGAGTCAGCGGCTGATCGCTGTCAGTGAACGAGTGAGGGTCAAGTGGCGCCATTCCTTCCTTCTACAACAACACAACAACCCCAGAATCACTCAGAATCAGTTCAACCCAATCAATCCCCGCCAAATCAAATCCAATCTAGTCCAATCAATCAATCAATCGATCGACCAATCAATCAATCAATCGATCAACCAATCAAACAACCCCCCTGCCTCCGTACCTGCGCACCTCCCGTCCTCGCTCCTCGTTTGGTTAGGTAGGACAAGGGGTGAAACGGCCGTGCGATCGCGTGTCACATCAGCCTTTTTCTACCCGCCTGTGGGGGCATGCTCTCAACCCTCCCGTCAGCCTTTGGAGGGGGCATGATTTCGCGCCTCCAAAGCCCAACTTTGACTCCACTTGTGCCTGCGACCGCCGCATAACTGCCTACCGGTAGCTGTGTGAATTTCCGTTTCGGAGCGTGGGAAGGACTCAAGCGGCCCCCACTACTCAGGTTCGGAAGTGCAAAATTTATAAATAGCTTCTGCGGCGAAACCTTCATACGTACAACCGACGGAGGTGGTACACCAATGAACTGTTGAAAAACAAAGCCAAATTCGAATCGTGGAAAAAAAAAAAAAAAAACACTGAACGTGGCAAAATCCTTTTACCGAAAAAAAAAAAAAAAAACTTTTTATGCACGTCTTGCCTAGGCTACCAGCCGGGCCGCCCGGGGACCAAGTCCCACTTGCAGCGGTTTAGTCCTCAGTTCGGGACCCTGTGTTTTGTGCGACACGTTTCCTGACCGCTGATTCACATTGATCGTAGGGCGCATGGTCGGTTATGTTTTTCTTCGAACGGAATGGATTGAATGTTGCTATGTAGCGGTTTCCCATTGGCTGTTATAGTCGGATGAGCTCTTTCACTCGCAGGGAACGCTCCTCGTCCGTAGCCTGACCCCAGTCGGGCTAGACGTGGGGACCGTCCATCGTCTTGTATTTCCACAGAAACTAAAAGTTTTTCCCGACAATGCCGCTGCCATACCCTTGGTTACCAGACTGACCGCCCTTTCATCATTACTGCCATTCAGCACGTTCAAATCCTGTTATTTTTCGCGATTTAACCCGTTGTTTGTCAACCAGCCGCACGTTGCCACACGAAGTCACACAGTGTCGTGCAGTACTGGCTACGGGAACTAAACCGCTGCAAGTGGGACTTTGTCCCGGGTCACCCTATTTTCCCCGGGGCTAGGTCCCACTTACACGAATTAAGCGATATTGACCGCAGATAGCAAAGATCAACGGCCAGAATCTCTTACTCCGGGCAAGTGGGACCTTGCCCCGGGCGGCCTGGCCGTGCAAGGACCAGGGAAGGCCCCAGCCAAAAAAAACAAAAAAAAAACCGAAAAAAAAACTATGTTGTGCAGAAAAATAAACTGTACGAATTTTGCCTCAGGGTCACAAAATGATTTTATTTTTGTTCATTTTTTTAATTTCCTTTTGGCCCAGCCGGGCAACTGGACCCGGGCCACTCTGGTAGCCTAGCTTCTTGCCTCATTTGGGGGCAGATGCATACACAGTTTTGCTCGTGGGGGGCCTTTGGGAACTCGAAACCTGCCCAGTCGGCCTTTGAAAGAAAGAAAGAACAAAAGGAAACACAGGAATCTGGTAATACCTGCTATGCTCAGCTCTGGGACCATGTCCCACTAGCTACTTTGAGTTAGGTCTACGTTTAGTTTTACACCGTGTGTGACTGTAGGAGACCATGGAGATGCACTTAGTCCAAGTGATCTAGCCGTCGGATTTTATTAAAAAAGGGCAATATGTGTGTTGTTCACAAATTGAATAGGGATTTTGTCATTTCGTTCAATTTGTACTGTAGCTTTGGATAGGAGACCATGGAGATGCACTTAGTCCAAGTGATCTAGCCGTCGGATTTTATTAAAAAAGGGCAATATGTGTGTTGTTCACAAATTGAATAGGGATTTTGTCATTTCGTTCAATTTGTACTGTAGCTTTGGAATGGATTGTAACCTTTTCGCATGATGTGAGGGATGCCGGACCCATTTTCCGGCTTTTATAATTCGAAAGCGGCTGTCGTATGAACCAGGTCGGAGTGCCTGGATCATATGGCACTCTGGCCGCCCTTAAAAAAAAAAATACTTCCAACAAAAAGGCGTAGTAAATCGAACTCCAAGTTGGGATTCCTGTATCGTCACCAGGCATGGATTCCTGTGCGTTGGAAGGAAAGAACAACAATTTCGTCAAAACGGACATATATATATATTTTCATGGTTGCCCCGGACCCGGACATCCAGACACTGGACACCAGGCCCGGACCCGTGTCTGGATTAATCCGGACGTCCGGTAATCCGGACATCGATCCAGACATACGGACATACGGACCCAGACGGTCCGGTTATGAAAGAACAGGTCGGGATGTCCGGATTAAAAAAAAAAAAAAAAAAACGCTACTGTAGTTGTGTAGCTTGTGTTATCCGACTTATCTCGAACACACATACACACACAGCTGCAAGAACAATGGAAGGGGTACCCCAAGGACAACCAAAAACCATACTTGCAACCGCACGAGCCGCACATTCGTGCAGAGTTCTGTACGGAGTTCCGTGCCGGGGGTGCCTGTGCGGAATCGTGCAGTTTTTTTTTTTTTTTTTTTTTTTTTTTTTTTTGGGAGGGGGAACCGGGGGGCGTATGACAGGAAGATGGGGATATGGCAAGGAGAGGGGGATATGGAGAGGAGGAGGAGGATGTGGACGAGGAGGACGGCGAGGATAGCAAGGACGACGAGGAGTCATCGAGATGGGGGAGGAGGAGAGATGGACGGAGGGAAAAGAGGAAGGGCAGGAGGAGGAGGACGAGTGGGAGGAGGAGGAGACATGGACGGCGAGGAAGTGGAGGACACGAGGAAGGGAAGGAGACGAGGAGGCATGGAAGATTAGGAAGTACGAGGAGGAGGAGGAGACAAGGAGGATGAGGAAGGGCAGGAGGAGGAGGACGAACAGGAGCAGGAGGAGGAGGAGGAGGAGGAGGAGGAGAAGGAGGAGGAGAAGGGAGGAGGAGACATGGAGGATGAGGAAGGGGAGGAGGAGCAAGGTGAGCAGTACTGCTGTAATTTTTTTTTCATCTCGCTTATAATTTTGGCGGGGGGCCTCAAACGCACCGTTTTGACCCCGGCCTTTTATTTTTTTTCTGAGGGGGGTGACGGGTCGTTCTCCGCACACGTCGTGCGCCGCACGGGATCGGTTGCGGCGCGCCGCACGATGTGCGCTTGCATGTATGCCAAAAACTGTCTAATTATAAAATTGCCTTAATATGTTGGATTGTAACTGTCTCATCTCAAATGCTCTGGTTGTCTGCAATATGACAAAGACTGCTTTGATTCAAAATCTATTCATCTGGGTGGAATTGGGGCTGTTGGGGGGGAAATCACATGCACACACACACACACACACAAACACACACACACACACACACACACACACACACACACAAACACACACAGTCTCATCTCAAATGCTCTCGTTGTCTGCAATATGACAAAGACTGCTTTGATTCTGAATCTGTTCATCTGGGTGGAATTGGGGCTGTTGGGGGGGAAATCACATGCACACACACACACACACACACACACACACACACACACACACACACACACACAACCAGTTCTGCTTGGCCCGCTGAAGCTCACCCAAGATTGCAAGTACAGGCCCTTCAGGGCCGGTCGGGTTGGCCCAACGGTCCACCAAAAACTGCACCAACAATTTTCGGGGGTCCACCAGGCACTGGAAAATTGCCTGGGGACCCCAATTTTTTTTCTCGAATTTTCTCAAAATGGGGCCCTACCGGACACCGGATCCGGACATCCAGACTGGACCGTCTGGATCCCAATCCGGACGTCCGGTTGACAACCATGATATTTTTTGAACGAAATTGAAAACTCATAAATTGGCCCAGTTTAGGTCAATATTTTCAGCTCCTGAGGGTACGGTGCCCTACCCCCTGGATGCAAGCTGAGTCCAGATACATCCAGAATCCCGGGGGTAAGGCGTTTTCAGAACGCCGTACCCCCTGGACTACAGCTAACTTGAAGTCCAGTTCAAAAAATAAAGACAGAACATTTTAAGAGGTCCAGCGTTTTAAGGACACCGGACCCTCAAGAGCTTGAAATTTCCACTTAAATCAAGCCAATTTATGAGGTTTCAATTTCGTTAAAAAAACAAAGGGAGAACTAGGGCGCTGACACGGTTTCCGTTTGAAAATGCATTTCAGTCACTATTTCACCAATGTTGTGCCAAACCGATGAAAATTGTGAATGTATACAACCCAGTTTTAGGGTCGGTTGGCAATGTGTTGTATTCGAGGGATGTGTAAAGTCTATTTAAATAAAATATGTCCGTTTTGACGAAATTGCTGCTGTTCAAGCAGAGCGCAGATGTACTAGCAGGTTTGACTGCGGGAGTTTTTGCTTTCAGTGGAACTGCCTAACGTCCAACAGGAGCTCCTGAGATTTTTCTCCAGGACTGCCTGGAAATAGACATGTGTCGTGGGTGGTTGGGCAGGAAGGTTAACCAGCACTAACACAGGTGGGCGCGACAAAGGTTTGAGACCCACTCAGGTTACTCCTTGGCCTGATTATATACTTGAGGAGGCCACTTGCACCCTCCCGTAATCCGGCGAGCATGTTCGAGCACTCGACTCACCTGAAGGACAGGCCTGTTGTGCGGTGTTGGGGTAAGGTAGGATGAGCAAATGGCCAACTGCTGAATGGACTGTCACATGCCTGGTGGCTACCGTCTTCACCCGAATACAACGTACCGTCGTTATAGCTGTACTTGGGGCAACTTCAAGTCTAGCTACAGAAAAAGATGACTGTACGTTGTATTTGGGTGCAGACGGTAGCCTCTACAACAACAACAACAACAACAACAACAGATCTGAGTAGATAAGCATTCTGAGTAGTCAGCATCATTCTCTACCGTTCTTTCTCAATCATCCTGAAGTGTTCCTGAATCATCCCACATTTTCATCAATCATCAATGTATTCCAATTACAAGGGACGCTGGGCCCGGTTAAAAAAAAA